ATTTTATAAACAATATGTTCACTTTTTTATAACAAATTAAATTTATTTATGTGTTGTGCGAAACGAAATACTTTACTGTTACTTGTATATTATATTTATTATATAATGACTCTTTTATATTCGTAATAAAACCTAATTTGTAAAGAATATTTTAATGATATAATATTATTAATTTATCCGTAATAAACAAATATCTTTACGAGTTGTTTCTTTTTATTTTGTTCTCATAAATTATAATACTCAATACTCTTTGTTTTTATAACTACTCGTTTTAGCTCTTTATATTTTATTAATGGTTTAACAGTTCATAAAATACTAATTATATAATATATTAAAAAATGCAAATTAAATTATTATTTAAACTAATTACAGATTTAAATTCTATTCTCATTCAATAATTAATTGCTTGTTAATCAGTTCATGCATATTTTAAAATATCTTTTAGCTATAGAACAATTGATAAGAAAACAAAAACTTTAAAAACCAAAGAGTAATTATTTATATATATATATATATATATATATATATATATATATATATAATGATTCAAATTTAATATTTAGTTTAATACCTGGACTCTTACTGAATTTGTGAGAATGGTTCTCAAACTCCAAAGTGTGATCCTGTTCATTTATTTTCCTGTGATATTTGGAGCTCCTGGTGAAATTGCCAATCAAAGTAAGTTAATCCACTCATTACCTAAATTTAAAAAAATATATGTAATACAACTTATAAAAAAAAATTATTTCATTTTGAATGTATATAAACATAGCGAATTATCATTATCTTATTATTTTAGAACTTTTGAATAATTGTTGATATTAAATAAAAACAATCATTTTCTTTATGTGTAGTGAGATTTTTCGAGTTCTTTAAAGGGTTGTTCTTTCATAATTTTATAATTTTTATAATTTCAGTCAATACTTATTTCAGAATGTATAGAATATAGCCAGATTCCCTCTCAATTATCTCCGTATGGTTGTCCTAGATCTCCAGTTCCTCTCATAATTGGCGGAACTCCAACTTCACTAATGGGGTTTCCCCATATGGTAGGTATAAACGTAATTTGATATATATATATATATATATATATATATATATTTGTATATATTCATCAACATTCGAATAAACATTTTGTAGCTAGTGTTTTGTTACCTTTCTGTTCCTTTTTTTATCATCTCATATATTTACAACAGTCTTAGACATTCAGTAAATCAATTTTAATAGTTTTATTACAAAAACTAACTAATTGACTGCAATCAAATTATCGTATGCTAGAAACAATGCCTATACCAAATGAATCTACGTACATTGTCCTTTTTCTAATCTCTAATCTCTTGGTATAATTTATTGATAGGAGCTTCATTAGGACATCTCTTGCTCATATCGAGTAATGTTTGAATGAAATATTGATATGACATATGTTATGTAAAATATGTATATATTTTTATAAATATATTAATATTTATTATAGGCAGCTATCGGATTTGGTTACACCGCCGATGGAGAAATTACTTGGCAATGTGGAGGTTCACTTATTAGTGAAAAATTTGTTCTTACAGCTGCTCATTGTTTGAAGAGTAGAGACAAGTAACGTATTTTAAAAATTATATATATCTATATATATATATATATATATATATATATATATATATATATATATATATATTAATTTGACCTTGTATTATTTTTTATTTTTCTAGAGGTCCTGCACAAAAAGTACGTTTTGGTGATAATACAGATAATTATGACTACATCAATAATGAAATCTCTTCTTATCGAGAATATTATATAATCAACAGAATACAGCACCCAGACTATAAGCCACCTTTAAAGTACTATCTTTTTTCCTAAATTTGTATTTATATAATTTATTTGATAATCAAATTTATTTAAGGTATAACGATATAGCTTTGCTTGAATTACACAAACCAGTTCAATTTTCTATGGATATCAGACCAGCTTGTCTGGAAACTAATTATTACAATATACCGCAGACTGTGATTGCAACAGGATACGGAAAGCAAACTTATGGTAATAATTTTTAATATTTTCATAATAATATTGCATAAACAAGGTCTCTGGTTCAAGGTCTATGTATCAAGCAATATTGATATTCTTTTTCATTGAAAAAGTAAAAATTAATACTGCTTCACATTAGGTTGCCCGTAACGATTTCATTTAAGAAATTTTTTGTGATTTGCAGAATTTCTAGGAAAATACCAACTAATGAAGGTCGAACTACCAGTTTTATCATCAGATCATTGTACACGTTCATTTGCAGTAAGTATGCTAAAAGACATGGATCACGGAGTTAATGTTTTGGAGTTATGAAAATATTTGTTTTTCTTAATAATATTTTTTAGTCAGACATTAGGCGACCAAGATCTGTTCTAAAAGATGGTATAATCGATTCGCAAATGTGCGTAGGCGATCTCTCCGGACACAAAGATACTTGCCAAGGTGATTCCGGAGGACCTATTCAGGTAATATTATTATGGACTAGTGGTTCTTGGCATCGTGCCTTGAGGCTAATTACTACAACTTACCGTAGGGTAATTTAAAAGCCCTAAACAACCCTATTACACATTTTTTTATTTACTTTTTTGTATTTGAATTTTTTGTTGAAAATTTAGATTTTTTTTCTTAACAATTGCGCTATATAGCTGTTTTATAGACAAAATTTCGAAGCGCTTAAGCGTCGCGTGTCAGTCTAACGGTTAAACATTAAATATCTTGATATGGAACCCATAGAAATGTAAACAAAATTTGTACTTATATTATTAAAATTTGATTTACGTATGTCTAATGAATGGCTTTTTTGAATTTTTTTTTTATTAAATCGCCGAAACGACTGGACCCTCCTTTGCCAAAAACAAATCAGCATGTCGCCTTATCAATAGGAATTGAATGTTTTTCAAAAATTGTATTCGTACATATATACACACATGCGCATTCACACACACACAAATACATCCATTTCTTTTAGAAATATGCCTATCAAAAGTTTCTGAACATTTTTGCATACCTTAGTAAAACGGATGTATGTGTGTGTATGTGCATGTGTGTATGTATGTGCGGATGCAATTTTTCAAAGAACATTGGATTCCTATTGATATCTTTATAAAGATATATACAACTTTTCATCTTCGATTTTCTTGCCATTACTATAACTTACCCTAGGAGGCCTCAATTAATCACGTGAGGTTTTTGGGGGGAGGGAACGTTGGACAAAAAATCGCGAAATATCACTTAGGGGAGAGAGGGGTATAGTAAGATATCACGTATATTTATTGTTTACCTGAATTTTTTTACAAAAATCCAAACATTTGAAAAAAAACAAAAATTTTACAATTTTTTCTCGTAACTAAAAATACACGTGATGTTTTTGCGCGGAGGGGTAATTTTAAATGTCACCAAGGGGAAGGGGGGTCCAAAATTTCTTAAAAAATCGATCACGTGATTAATGGACGGCCCCCTACTAAATTTATATGCAAATTAAAGATTTTATGACAGATTTTTTTATTATATGACAGAATATATCATAAATCTTTAAAAGACTAAAGATATTTTAACTTACGTACTTAATTTAGCTTAAAGTTCAAGCAATAGTGATAACAATTTATAAGGGCAATATATATAAATGCGCTCAAGCAATAGTGATAACAATTTATAAGAACAATATATATAAATGCGCTTTTTTTATTCCGCGCTTAACACAATGAGGAAATTATTATTATCCTTGAATTATATTCACTAAGAATTTTACACAAAATAAATTCCATTTATTTTCACAACTATTTTGAATATTTAGTAATTAAGATGACACGTTTAAGTAATTAAAATAGTTTTTAATTGGCCATCATGACTTTATTTTAAATTAACAACTTCAATTGACTTCAATAATGAAACAGGTAGGTTTGCAACCCTACAAAAAAAACGTTTGAAAAAAAGTTTTCTGATAAGAAGACAACTATGCAACTTCATTGCATAAAAATACCGAAGTGGATAATTGTTGTCCTTCTGTTATCATTCTGTAAGTTGTTTTCAAAGTAGTAAGTTGTGCAATCGGTTTATAACGAATTATTAAATATTAACAAAGTGATTTACAAACACAGTTAAATAATAATATTAATTTAGTGTTGGGTAAAGTGAATTTGAGGAAATGGATTTAAGGTACGTTTCTGAAGGATGATGGACGTTAAAAGGTCAGAAAGATTTTGTTACTTTTGTAAACATTCAAAACGCATATATTTATTTGTTTATTTCAATAACGCCAATCGGCTATATACAGTTTATTTCGGCTATATTACTATTATGATCACCGTCAATATTATTACAATATAAACTAATTGTTGCAGTTATTTTTGTTTGCCATAATATGTTAAATTCGAATAAAAATGGCCGCAAATTTTGTTCAAATTAATGTGAATTGGTAGAATATGTCAAATTCGAAAGTACTTATACGCAAATTTTGTACAAAAATAGTTTAATGGTTGTAAAAAAATGTATTCAATTGATACTAACAATATTTTCATTGAAACTATTATTAATTCTGTAGGATGACGTCGTATTATAGAAAGGAAAAAATAAAAAGAACAAATGTCAGTGTAGTGAAAATAGGAGAAAAGCTTTGTTTTTTTCTATACATTTGCAATATGGGATATTACAATTGTCATTATCTTTCCTAGACAACTGTTATCCACTTTCAGTGAACAATTATTTAAAGCTTCTAATTAAGTATTCTATATAAATCAGGTTCCTCTACAATGGTCTCCATGCACCTACAAAGTAATAGGTGTGACCTCCTTCGGCAAATTTTGTGGCTACCCCAATGCACCATCTATATACACTCGTGTTTCCTCTTACATCGATTGGATTGAACAAGTTGTTTGGGGCAATCAATTAAAATATCAATTCAAATGAAATTATTCTAGATTATCCTATGAAATAAATACCCAGAGCATTATATGATTTGTTTATTAATTTAAACACTGGTTTCCACATCTTAGTTTTGTTTCACACAAATATGACAATATTTTATACAATACTCAACATTTTATTAAACACTATGTATAAAAACAAACAATTTACAAAACTAAAACTATCAAAGTTTCTTGGAACGAAATTCACTATAACAATTTTGGAGTCCTTCATTATTTTGGTGTAGAGCATTTGAAATGCGTTTCAGGGTGCTTTCTTTTCCTAATATTGTGATCATTTCTGATACTGGAGGACCAACCTGTTTCATAAAAGAAATAGATAGTAAAAAATTTGTTTAATATATACTTGTCGCCTAGTCTGTTATTATATTATTACCTTGGAACCACTTAAGACTTTTCGAAGTTCTGCCATCAAATTTTTAAAATCTTCCTTGTTATTCATGCTAACCATATGCAATGTTGTTTTGATTTGTTCTTTTTCAAATGTGTATGTGGTAATTAAGGAATTCTTAAGTTCGATTAGAAAATCTAATTGAAATTAGAAAAATTGTTAAATATTAATGAATTAAGGCTTGCAGCTAATAATGAATAATACCTTTCAAATCACCAGATGGTGGTTTTTTTGGTTTTGGTGGCAATTTCCAAAGAAATTCTAAATTTTCACTCAATAATTCTTGAAGTTTGCTTACTCGATCTTGAGACCATATAAGTACACTTGATAGATGTTCTTCGTCCAGGTGCAGTAATTCTGACCTACATTTGGTAAATGATTCATTTTATAATTCAAGTATTATATTTATAATAAACTGTAATACTTACTCGCCATATTTTTCTATCACAAGATTTCTTAATTGTGATATTAAGTTAACCCTATCTACTTGATTATTTAAAAGTCTTTGTATTTCAAGTCTATTAAATTCAGGCAATCGATCCTCAGGAAGACGACAGGAGTTACTATTAACACGACGTAAATTGAACTGAAATTAAACAAAATTTGTACTAAAAATTGTGGAAAGTGTATATTCAGATAATATTATCATACATGATCCCTTAGCTCATCTAATGAATAGCTTTTAGGTTTCAAACTTTGCAATTTGTCAAATCCACCTCCACTTAATGTTATAAAATTAACTAATGCTTGTGGAAAAATTCCTGATTTTCTATAAGCATCTACTGTAATATCACCTTGACGTTTACTAAGTTTTGATCCATCACTGTTCAGTAAAAGAGGCAAGTGACCGAACTTGGGAGGTTCCCATCCAAATGCTCTGCATTAACAATTATAAATAAAAGATGAGTATGGAATTTAATTCTGTAAATCAAAATAAACTTACTTATACAGCAGAATATGTTTCGGTGTTGATATTTGCCATTCAACACCCCTCAAAACGTGAGTTATTCCCATCAAGTGATCATCAACAACATTAGCAAAATGATATGTCGGCATGCCATCAGTTTTTATAATAACTGGATCACCCTCTTGCTGTGCAATATCCAAAGCAATATTGCCATAAATAATATCTTCAAATGGGCTTGCATCTGGTGTTAATTTAAATCTAATACAATAAGGTTCTTTCTTGTCGAGTTTTCTTTTTACTTCATCTTTTGATAATTTTCGACAGGCATTATCATACTTTGGTACTTGTTGATTCCGAAGTGCTTCTCGTTTTAATAAATTCAGTCGCTTTGGAGTGCAAAAACAATGATAAGCAGAGTTGTTTTGCAATAACTCTTGGACTTCATCACTAAAATAAAAGGAGTTAGAAGATATTTTGTTCATCATATTAAGACAATTATTAAGTACTGACTTGTATATTTTCTTCCGTTGACTTTGTATGTAAGGACCAAGTGATCCCCCATACTTTGGTCCTTCATCAGGGATAATACCAGCCCATTCTAAATCCTTAATTAGTTGCTCCTTAGCTCCAGGTACCAGACGAGTTTGATCGGTATCTTCTATTCGAAGAATAAATTTCCCATGTCTTGATTTTGCGAACAAGTAATTTATTAAAGCTGTTCGCAAACCGCCTAAATGTAAATGACCTAAGAAAAACAAAATTTGTCTATTATTTTGTTTATAATTTTTGAGGTTAAAAACATTTTCAAACCTGTAGGGCTAGGAGCAAATCTGACCCGCACATTCCCCGCAGTTGCTAAGAAAGTTGTAGAAATATTGCGGTAATTTGTTAATTTAGTAATAACACAAGTAATTTTGAACATATTTTTGACAGAAAGAAATTATATAAAAAATGACGTTTCTCCATGTCCATAATTCATGGTTCTGCAATTGTTTTGAAATTCACAAATGTTATCCATGCATTGGAAATTGACAACAAACCGCACAGAGGCGTAGTTGAAAAGGAAATTTATTTTATTTATCTATTTTACATATAAACATTTTATCTTACTTCATTTAATAAATAACTAAGCATGGCATCGTGCCTTAAGGCAAATTGCTGGAGATCCCGTACCGTAATCAAAAATTTTGGTACGGAACCCAAAAAAAAATTACACAAAATGTGTACACATTATTAAATCTCTATAAAATATCTGATAATTTGATGTACATATGTCCAATAAACATTTTTGACCGCCAAATGGCATTTTTTTTAAATTATTTTTATTAAGAGTCCACAGCCGCTGGACCTGCCTTTCCAAAAACTCAATCAGTTTTTCATCTTGTCAATACAAGTAAAATGTTTTTTGAATTATTAAAATCGGACGCTCCGTTCTCTTAAAAACTGAGTTACCGTTTTTGACAATTTTTGCCCCGTACCTTCGGAACGGCTAGACCTGTCTTCGCCAAAACCTAATCAGCACGTCTCCTTATCAATACGAATTGAATGTTTTTTGAATTATTCAAATCGGTTGATCTGTGTTCTCGAAATCGTCGACGAAAATTTGTATCCGCACACACACATACATCTATTTTTTCTAAGGTATGCCAAATGGCCAAAACATTCAGAAACCTTTGAATCATAAAGATATATACAAATTTTCATTTTCGATTTTTTTGCGATTACTATAACTTATCCTACAGGAAGTTAAAAAAAACTGAACCAAACATATAGTTACTGCCATAAATAATATCTTTTAATGGTTATGCATCTAGCATTAATTTTTAGTTTAATCTAATACAATAAGGCTTTTTCACATCATCTTTTGGCTATCATTGCCAATTTATTCTTCTTCAAAAAGTTCTTTATGTTTTATATTACAATAAATGCAAAACATTTTATACTCTCATTCTGAATTTTAGTGTCCCCTAAAATTCCTAAAAAAAAATCATTACTCTTATAATTCCTTAAATAAATAAAACTCCATATAGCTATCTAAATTTTTATTTATTACTTTAGCTTCTCCTTCAAATACAATTTTATCATTCTGTTTACACCAATATTTAATTTTCATAATTTTTCTATTCTCAACTAACTGAACATTCACCTCAATTGGTACATCAACAAAACATTTATTTGGAAATGTAAATGATTGTGAAATCACCATGCTCCCATGACCTGGACACAATGTTCCAATTACCCCTGATACAAAACCATTTAATAAAGCTCCATGAACGATTGGTTCAGAAGTTGCAGTTCTATTAAAATGCACAACGTTATTATCACCAGTCAATTTAGCAAACGTTTTAAGATCTTCTAAAGAAACTTGTTTGGTAACAGACACCTTGGTGTGCATAAAGGCATATTGAAATTTGAAAAGTCTTTTAGCAAGAAGCATTCTAGCAAATTGATGCATTCTTAAACACTACTTTATATTTTATCTACTTGTATTAAAAAATGTTCATACACAGTTTTACAAATTTCAACTTGCTCTCGTTGGCAATGATCTTCTAAAAATATGGTTGCCAGATTTCTTAAACGAGCGTCGTCACTTCTTTGAATCTTAAGAATTTTATTAATGATTTCAGTATTACAAATTTTGTCTCTGGTTTCTGGTGTTATTAGAAACTGCAAGGTGGTTATGGCATCAGCAACCATCTCAACATTGGAATTGACCAAGTACTTGACGATTTTTGCTATACCATCATTATAAACTATGTAGTCACGATTATCAGGATCTGAAAAAATAATCAGGTTTTGTTGAGCAATCTTTCAATTAACACTTTGTAATAGTAAATAATATAACTCTAACTTTACCTAAGCATAAGTTGCAAATTCCGGCAAGAGAATATCTTGATAAAGTACTATTATTTCCTTGAAGGTTTTCAAGAAATACGTCGATTATACAAACTTCTCGAATGTATTCATAATTAACTGGATCATATGCAAAATTTGCTAGATTTGCCAATACTTGTTCTTTGGCACCTGTAATTTAAAAATGCATAAAATATTATATGGACTTATAATTATAAACTTAAGTGGACATTAAATTCATAGAACTTTAGCAGAGCCAAAAAGTAAACAATAAAAACAGGTTTTTCATATTCCAAGAACTTGAGGTGCTATTTCATAACGATTATAAATATAGCGACTATGAAATTTAATATTTAGTTTATTAAATAAATTTTCCTAAATTATTATAATTTACTTACTCAGAGATTTACTTTCATAGAATTCGTCACGTAGCAATGCTAAATATATTTTGCGGTCAACACCGTCTTTCGGAGTACGCTTTAATAATAGATCTTTCCGAGTAAACATTACAATATTTCGATTTCAAGATTAGAAATATATTATATATTTTCTATAAAGAGGTAAAGACACGAATAAACAATGTTTATGACAGCTTCAGATTTATTATTGCCTGACTGTTGGTGCTCCTGTAAATAATACTCGTAAAGTTTATGTGATGGCGCTGATAGTCAAAAACAAATTTTCAAATACATGAGCGGTTTTTTTGAAAAATAAAACTATTATATAATAATGAAAATATATCAAGTTAACCAGGTATAAGTAAGTAGTATTTTGCCTTAAGTCTTACATAAATTTTCCAATATGTGTAAATAGCTCTGTACGGATCAGAGATCAGAGAAAACTATCTGGAGAGTATTGAAAAGTGGTGCTGGAGACGAATGGAGAAGATAAAGAAGATAAATGGAGAAGGCAGTTAAGATAACCAATGAGAAGAGTGATCAAAGAGAGGACTCTACTGAGCACGATCCTGAAAAGAAAAGAAAACTGAATCGGACCCATTCTGCAAAAAGAGTGCCTCCTACACGACGTAGTTGAAGGTAAAATAGGACTGAAAGGAATGGGAGGAAGAAGAATGCAGCTGGTTGATGACTTACACGAGAAGAGGAAATACAAGGAACTAAAAGCCGAAGCACAGGATCAGGAAGCATGAAAGCAGAAATTTTAAAAGAAAAATACATAAAAAATGTTTAAAGTAGAGGGAATATTGGTAATGGGAATGCGAAGAGAGAAAAGGATTATTTGATTTGTGGTGGACCTGCCTTTGGGCAGACTACCATTTATCATTATTATTTATTATTATGTGTAAATTAACCATTTAATCAATAAAAAATCAATATATTAATTTATAAGTGATTTATAAGCATGTAGGATTGCTTTAGGGCCTTATATATGATATATACTACTATTGCAGATTATTCAATTTTATAAAAATTTGCAAACATGTTAGTTATTATCGATAAATAGTTCAAATATTATACATTATTGAACAACACCTAATATATAATATATTGTATTTTATAAAAGCGTTCATTAAGTATTCTAATCTTTAATGATTTTTTATAATTGAGCTACTATTTATGATATGTAGGATGTTTATTAAAACTTTTCACCCTATCAATATGCGAGTTTAATCAAAGGGGTAAACAAAAATTTAACAATTGTTTGCCTGCGAAAAAACGGCTTGGCCGTTTTTGGCCAAAAACTAATCCGCACGATTATATAACTGATCTAATCTTTAGAACAGTTTAGAATTGGTTCAAGATTTTTAGCTAAAATTGAAAATATAAGTGAAAAATGACTTGAAACGTCGAGAAAACTTATAATTAGCACATCGGAATTTTTCATCATATTTTAGTTAAAAGATCTATTTTTTACAACATCGTGACATTCCCATAATCTTCCAAATATCATTGTATTATGATATATACAATTGATTTATAGTACATATTATTCATTTTCTCAACTATACAGCAGTGAATCATTAATTTTATGTTTTGAAACAATTACAAACAAATCCATCGATTACTAATATAATTATTAAAATATGACCCAATTTCCTCAATTTTCTGCCCGTGACCTGTTTATGATTAATACTACCATATTAATTTAGTTATATCGAATTGTGAAATAAAATCATATGTTTCATTTATTTTGAAAGATAATAGAATGCAATCATACTTTTGTAAATATAAATGTGCAAGCTTGCAAAAAAATTAATATATATTTAGAAATTGTAGTTGCTCTAAGTATCAGTGTTAAAAAGTTGTTTTGTGGTGAGGCGTGATATAAACGTGGTAAGTTAGAAAATTTTAAATATGTTAATATAATATTATTTAACTATTTAAGCGAATTTAAAGTGTGTTAATTATTGGGGACTACTTGTGTATTTTAGAATAATATGAAGTTCCATTTTTGCTTAATTGTTTTGATTGCACTCTGCACAGTGGCCTACTCTAGGCCAGATGTACAAACTAATGTTATAACAGCGAAAGGCAAAAACGTCGATCAGGCAAAATCAAAAGCAAAAGCGCAGGCCAGCAAAGCGATCGAGAGCAATAAGACTAAATTGAATAAAGAAGTAACGGAAATTAAAGATCTTGGGAACGAAGAAAAAGCCAAAGACGAGCCAAAAGCTTTGGCTATTTCTGAAGAGGATGAATCTAAGCCAGAGGTGAGCTTGGGATGCAATTGTGGAATTTTCATGTCTGGTCAAATACCGAGAGGTTCCAAAGCCCAACCGAAAGGAAACCCAGTGTTATTGCAAGAACAGGACGGGATTTTTGCTTGCACACCTTTGGGAACTAAACAGTGTACTAACAAATGTTTGGACACGGTATGTATAAATAATTCATAAATAATTTCCTTAAGGCGTTTTACAGTTAAAATTTATCATTAATACAAACTACATACTTTTACACAGTTAAAAATGTAACACGTTCACACGATGCTACAAAATAATTCAGAAGAAACGATGGCAAATTTGGATTGTTATAGTTAGATGTTATTATTCATCAATTAAATTCAATTATACTATTTCATTTTCCCTATTTATTTCGTAGATCATAAGACATTTACCAAACTCTCCCAATATTTTGTGCGGTCTTATGGACCGTGATTGCCACAAGGAAAGGGCTTACTTGTTCGTGCGAAATTGCGGTTCAGGATGGACAAACACTAAATTATCAGCCGGTCGTGAATACTGTTGTAAAGAAGGCAAACCTTACACATGCCCATTGATTTAAAAATTACTCACGTAGAACATTTAATTTAATCATCATGGCAAAGGTATTCTTGACAGAATCTTATAAGCAAGTTCATAAGTTTATTTATTAGATTTTATTCCATGTAATATTTGTGTAATATTTAGGTGCAATATTTAATATTTGCACTTTAATACCACTCAAGCATTACATTAAGAAGTAGTATATAATACTAGAGTTATTTAGTAATATTTTTTAAGAATATTTTTATATTATTTATTTATTTATTGTTTTATAAATATTTATTTATTATATATTTTATTGTGTATATTTTATGATAAAGATAAATAAAAATTATAATAATTAAAAGTGCGTTTGTATTCAAAGTATTCTATAAACAAAGATGGATTTATTCAATTTTTATAAAAGCTTGTAGTTGATGCAATATAAATTTAAAAAGAAAAATGGATTTTTACCTCGCTATAAAATCTTTAAAGTTGATAAAATTTTTATTTGCATCTTTGTGTGAAATTTCCATTACAAAAATTTCTCCTGAAATCAATTAAATTTAAATACTAAGTTTATTCAATATTTATAAAATCCTGTAGCTGATTTGATACAATTTTAAATTAATCTCAAATAAGTTCTAGATCAATTTTTAGAAAAACTGGATTTTTACCTCGATGTAGTTTGCAAAATTTTTATCCCTGTGTGAATTTTCAACAAATTTCGTCTGCGCTCAAAAAAATTTAAATACTAGATTGAAAAATGGAATAAGTTCCACATGTCGCTTATTTTATATAATAATTTTTTTAATGTATGACTTATTTTGTAGAGTTTTTATTCTATGATTAAGTTCGTAAAAAAATGTATTTGTATCCTTGTGAGAAATTTCCATTATGAAAATTTTACCTAAATTTAATTAAATTTAAATATTAGGTTTATTCAATATTTATAAAAACCTGTAGTTGAATTAATACAATTTTAAATTAATCTCAAATAAGTTATAAATAAAATTTTGGAAAAGATGGATTTTTACCTCGCTGTAGTTCGTAAAATTTTTATTTGTATCCTTGTGTGAATTCTCAATTATGAAAATTTCATCTGTATTTAAGAAAATTTAAATACTAATTCGAAAATGGAATAAGCGCCACTTCTTCATCATTGATATCGATTATCTTATTTTTTTAATCTATGACTATGTTGTCTCTTTTTGAAACTACAATGGAAATCTTACAATTTACTCAAATGATTTCGAAGCAAATATTCTGTAATTTTCGGGCAATATCACTTCAATCATTATATCTCAAAAATGAGGGAATATTAATAAGAAGAAGTTTTTAGAGAATAAAAATGTTTCTATGAGGATTGTGAGTTACCTGTCGCGTCCATGATATTGTTTGGTGTTTATTTGTTGAAAAGCCAAATGTTCAACTTTAGTTTTTTTTTTAAATATTTTATGAATGGTTCATTACCACCATAAGGTGTTATATACAGTTAGATTTGATTCGAAATTTCTTGTATATTTCCCAAAATCCACAATTTTGCATGTGCTGGATAAGCTTCAGAATGTACAACTATGAGTTATTCCATCAAACAGGGATAAGCTTCAGAATGTACAACTATGAGTTATTCGATCAAACAGCAAATGTGTCTTCTACAAAAGTAGTTTGACAAATTTGAAGGCAATATGCTATAAATTTTATATAAATTGCTGCAATTGAATCCTGTCGCATTGGAGTTTTTGCTTGGCATCATTTTCTCATGGTGTATGATTAATTTTTAGGATGTACGACCATGGGTTATTCAGTTAAAGAGCAAATATGTTGTCTTCTTCAAAAGTAGTTTGACAAATTTGAGGACAATATGCAACGGATTTTATATAAATTTCCGCCATTGAATCCTGTCCCATTTGAGTTCTTGCTTGGCTTCATTTTCTCATGATGCCTCGCGTTTGTCATTTAGTTTCAACAATAATACGATAGTTGAAGTGAGCAATTGACGAAGGGGGTTCCGTCTCGCACTGATTCTAGTCAGCAAACCACGAACTACGAAACGAGCGCACGAAATCCGTCAAGAGGACATCGCACGTTCCTCAACAAGCGTGTCTTATTGGACTCAACTACTCGACGGTCATTCACCCGAGTTCTACAGGTACATGTGACTCCCTACGCCGAGGGTATCCCACAAAAAAATTTCGAGAAACAGGTACATAAAAACTGTCTCCAAGAAAGTATGAGTTCATTCGAGTTCACTCCATCGCGGAGAGATTTAGAGTATTTTTTGGCGTTGAAAGGGATTTGTTTCGAGAATATCTATAATTGATGTTTTCTTTGTAAATATTGAAAGATATAGGGGTTTTACTAGATGTCATGCGGTGCTTTTGTCATTTAAAATTCTTAGTAAACAATTGTAAATAAATGTGTACTTTGAGAGGACACGGATAGGATAAAGCAATTTTCTATTGAAATAAAGTGTAAAATTAATAGGATATAATGCCCTTGTTATGGTTGATTTTTAACTTTCGTGATAATGTGCTATAAGCTTATATTCACACACATTTTATCTTTATTTTCCCAAAACTTTATGTGATCGAATAATGAATCACCAGATTAAGGAGGCAGCTAAGAAATTAATTCCATTATTTTCTATGTGGAACATCATTTCAATCTGTGGAGGAACTATATTTGTCAAAAATTACCTATGTGTAAAGGACACCTATATGTGTCCTCGTCGATTTCTTTATAAGATCAATATACCAATATTATTTAAAATCTTTTGGCAAAGTCATTTTTACATGGTCAGAACATATCATCGATAGAAACTTTAATTCAGTAATTGATTAAATATATATTATATATTTATATATATAAGGTTGTCAAATATCTCTCTTCCGCCTTTTTGTATTATAAACCAAGAGCAAAAAAGCGGAAGGGAGATAATTGACAACCTAATATTATATATAACTCAAAAATAACTGTTTTAAATGGGTTACTTGTAAAAATATAACTAAATTGTGATATTGACTGTATAGTTATATTTTTCCTATATAATTCAAATGCTATTTATACTACAATTTTTGTCTATCTATAGTAGAAAGGTTTTTTGGTATAATATTTGGAATTTTCAACTTGGAATTTTGTGTTACCTTTTCTAGTAATTTTAAGACATTCGGTTATTAACTCTTGCAAAAATATAAATAAATTTTATTATTGACTATGTGACTATAATTTTTCCTATCTGATTCCAATGGTATTTATACTACAATTTTTGTCTAATTAGATATTTTGGTATAATATTTGGAATTTTCAAATTGGAATTTCATTTTGCACTTTTCTATTAGGTTTAAGAAATTCGGTTAGTCTATTTTATTCGTTGTTAAAAATTAAAAAAACTGTAAAATTAAAATGATTTAGGCGCAGTAGTATGCAGATACATATCATTTTGATATATATCATTAGTGGATAAATAGAAAAATGAGAATCAAGTTAAAATTTTTCATATAATTACAATTTGTAAAATGATCGCATCCACCTTTTCCAAATGAAGTTTCATAGTTGGCCGATTATTATAAAATCATTGATGGTTTCACTTGGATAGATGACAAATTACCAGCTATCTTCTAATTGCAAGTCAGTGCATGTTATCTGTGGACTTATTCGCAATGCATTGCGTCCTAGTGAACAACGATTAAGGTCCGCCGTGTTTTCTAATAGAAAATATTGCGGATAAACTGTTACAATCGATCACTGTTTATCATTGAAGAAGTTTTTCTGTTTAAAATGATAATTAGCAATACTAGAAAGTCATTAGTGATAATATGCAATCTATTGTTTTTAGTTAATTTTAGTTTTTTGATTGACGTAGCCGGTAATCCGTTGTTTTGTAAATTAAGGATACCACATATAAATCTGATGGATGTTCTTACAAATATCATAAATCTTGTTTGAGCACTAGTTGATATAGATACATTGACGTATTTATGCAAATAATACATTACAGGAATTTCCAATTGTTTTCCTTAATAAGATCTAAAAAATATCTAACTTTTCGATAAAATCATAGTTGTTCAAATTTGTTCATAATCTGTTTTTTTTTAATTTTTCAACTCTGATAGATTTCTAGCATAAGGAATAATACTATTCCATATTATTTTTGAATTATAGTAATATTATCAGTCTGATAATATTACTATAATTGATTCTGATAATATCAGGTGCTATTAATGTAAATTACTAGAAGTTAAGTGCATTCCCGTTATAAATCTATAATCGTTTATAGTTATTCAGATCAGAAATCTTATAGTAAGCACCTATAAATTGCAATTAGAAGTATGAAATATTAATAATGGAATAAAACTTTAATGAAAATAATAAACATACTAATAACATCACTGAATTCTTCATTTGTAAGCTAAGTGAAATGTGGTCGCAAAATGTTTACCATAAAATGTTCAAAGGGTTCAAATGTTCTAACGCAAGCATATATCTTTCATGCGTAGTTGCAAAATCCGCGATTTATATTTGTACCTGATTGGAATCTTTAGTACACATGTAAAAAACATAGCTATTTATTTATTATAAAAAAATACATATTGAATGAACTATCTAGTTATTTACCATGAAACTCATCGACAAGTGCATGGGAAAAGATTGCATCACGCTCAGAATTAAACTGAATGAGTTACGGTGTGATTCGTAATTACAAAAACGCGTTCATTTAAATTCAACGCGCACCCCTTTAGTTTCCAACAGGAAAAAATGTATTTAATGGTTCGTTTTACTGTCATAAATAAACATATTTTATATACAAAGGGAGACTTGTTAACACTGCACTGTTCTGATGGAGAGAAAACTATACAAAGTTAGAATTGGAATCACTGAAAGAGTTGCATACAAGATTTGTAATAAAACGTTACTTCTAATTCAGAAGAAGAAATTTAAGTTTTCACCAGAAAATACAATTTAATTTTATGTTTATGTAAAAAGTCGATTTTTTTGTCTTTTTTGTTATATTATTTGCTTGTGTCACAACAGCTTTAG